TTTCCCTCTCTCTCTTAAAGGGACAGCGATCTCATCTCACTCTGCATGACCCTAATATCATAACATGTGTGCTCTGGAGAATCACAGAACGTACGATCGTCCTTATTATTTATGGCCAAGACCAAAGAGCTGTCAAAGGACACCAGAAACAAAATTGTAGACCTGCACCAGGCTGGGAAGACTGAATCTGCAATAGGTAAGCAGCTTGGTGTGAAGAAATCAACTGTGGGAGCAATTATTAGAAAATGGAAGACATACAAGACCACTGATAATCTCCAATGACCTGCAGAGAGCTGGGACCAAAGTAACAAAGGCTACCATCAGTAACACACTACGCCGCCAGGGACTCAAATCCTGCAGTGCCAGACGTGTCCCCCTGCTTAAGCCAGTACATGTCCAGGCCCGTCTGAATTTTGCTAGAGAGCATTTAGATTATCCAGAAGAGAATTGGGAGAATGTCATATGGTCAGATGAAACCAAAATAGAACTTTTTGGTAAAAACTCAACTAGACGTGTTTGGAGGAGAAAGAATGCTGAGTTGCATCCAAAGAACACCATACCTACTGTGAAACATGGGGGTGGAAACATCATGCTTTGGGGCTGTTTTTCTGCAAAGGGACCAGGACGACTGATCCGTGTAAAGCAGGGGTCGGCAACCCCTGGCACGCGTGCCAGCATTGGCACGGGGCACCGTAACCAGTGGCACACTAGGAATAAGTGGAATAAGAGTGCAACATATTTAAATTGTATTTTCGGATCCTGAACGAGACCGCCGCCAGAGCGCGTCTCCCCGTTACCTGCAGAAGGAAGCCATGCACGCAACGCAGCCCCGCTCTCTTTATCTCCAGGTGACTTTCTGCCGCTTTCCTCCGTGGTGCAGTGCTGATCGTTTCACCACGGAGGAAAGCACTTCACTAATTGCAGTACCCATAAGGAGCTGTACAAATGCCGCAGTTTTTGCGTGGCTGTGTATTTAGTTGAAAGCCCAGTGGCGATCTGCTCATCTCTCATCGAAATAATATGCTACAAAGGGGCGGACTGGCCATCTGTGTGTTGAACTTTCCTGTCGGCTCCCAGACCGTAGTCGAGGAGGGCAGAAGCAACAAGCTTCAGGTTGAATAACCCACTTTAGCTTAAATGACTGGAGAGAGGCGAGCTCTTCTTGGGAGGCCGTTGCATTTATTTAGCTGTTCTTCTGTTTCACAAAATACATCACAGACCTCTGTTTTTCTGCTGCCTCGTTTCACTTCCAGAAACATACACACGTTCCCTCACTGTCACTCTGCCATCCACACACACACATGCACAAGCCACACCCCTCTCTCTCTCTCTTTCTCTCTCTTAAAAGAGACAGCGATCTCATCTCACTCTGCATGACCCTAATATCATAACATGTGTGTTCTGGAGAATCACAGAACGGACGATCGTCCTTATTATTATGCCGTTTAAACCAATTATTGAAATGTGTTTGTTAAATTCGGCATCATGTAAGTTGCGCAGGTCCACACACTGCTTCCCCGCAGCGAGGCCCCCCCCCACCCTCCTGTTGACAGTTAACGAGCGTCGAGCTCTTCACCCCCCAACAGATATTCATTGTTTTCTAACTCCTATCTACCCATCCTGATCCTTACCACTCCAATCAGGTCTCCACGTCCGTACTCTCCTATCAGCTCCTTCTTGCCATCTTCCTTCAAGATCACAGAGCGCAGTCGACCACTCAGCACTATGAAAGTACTGTCTGACTTCTCTCCCTGCCTGAAAAATACACAGATAACTGAATCCCCCACAAATATGCCAACAAGCATGTGAATCAAAACCTCCAATGTTTAATAACTTGTAATGGATCTAAAAAATATGTGATTTGATTGTTGTCAACTAAGTTCCTTTCACACCGGAGTACTTTTCCCCGTACTTTTCCCTTTTAGTTCCTGGGATTTTTCATTCAAACCAAAAAGAGAACTTAGTTCATGAGAACCTTTTCACCCTCTTTTCGGTCCCTGCTAGAGAGCAGGGGCTTTCCTGGGGAGAAAAAAGTTTCAATTTCTGATTGGCTGGGAGAATTGCAAACCACGACCCATAAAACTCGGAAAAGTTTTGTGAAGCCGCCATTGTATTTGCTGGCATTAGCATTATTAGCATTAGCATTAGCCCCGCGCACCAACGGAGAGAGACTAACTTATGGCAACACAAAAAAAAAACATGAGGTGGAGATGAGGAGCTGTCGGCGTTCTGGCGATTTACTCTGAAGGCTTCAGTAGAAGCTGCTGGGAGTCCCAGCAGCTTCTATTGAAGCCTTCCCCAACTCCAGGGAATTCCTGCCGGGGACTTCGGGTGGCAGTATACGCCGTGAAGTTCTTTGCGGCCTGCAAGTAAACCCAAAGCAGAAAAAGACGAAGTGACGACAGCGGCTTCATTTGCGTAATCTTCCCTCAGGGAACTTATTCCGGTGTGAGCGCGATCTGCTTTCTAGTCCCATGGGGGAACTAAGTGCTGGGAACTAAGTACGGCAAAGTACTTGGTGTGAAAGCGCCTAAGGCAATCATTTAAATACCTGTAGACCGCTCTGCCAGCCTCCACAGCCATCCAATCGAGAGCGAAGTCTATCTGTCTGACAAAAGATGACATCCTCCTCACCACAGTGTGAGCGACGTTCAGCACCACCTTTGGCTCCACACGCATTATCCTGAAGAAGAGTCAAATCAACAGAAAGACGAGAGTAAGAATGGATTTAACTACAAAACATAAATGCAGTTGCTACAAGTTTGGACAAAACGAGGTCAGAATCTAATCTTACCATAAAAAAGATAACATCAAAGAATGAAGGAATTTTTGAGGGGGAGGAAAACCAGCAATAAAAAGTTCCAGTACTATTAAACTTTCTATAACGCTCAATTTAGCTCAATTTTAAATAATTAAAAAGTAACTTAATAAGTAGTAACTTGCTTATCTTAGCAGGGAAGTGTCTAACATTTCTCTAAATCATATATTTGACAATTTTATTGTTGACTCATCTATTTATGAACAATAATAGCTGAGAAGATCAGGAACACAATTTGTGTGTAGGTGCTGCGCTTTCTCTGGGCCTGTAGATTGTTCCAACATAAGAACAAAAGGATTAAACTATAGTTATCTATAGTAACTGCCCTCAGCCTACACATCTTGAGTACACTTTAATGCATGGCTGGGTGTGTGCACGTGTGTTGGTGTGACTGACTCATAGAAGTGGGTTTTGGAAATGGAGAGGAAGCTGCAGTCTCTCTGGGCTCGAACAGTGAATATGAGGGGCTCTCCGGTCAGGACGGCTAGTTGACCCACGAGCTCTCCGGGGTGCGTGACAAACAGACGCGTCTCTTCTTCACGGTCGATCATCCGCTGGTAAACATGGAGGAGGCCAGAAATCACAAACTGGATGCTCACCTCCTAAAGCAGCAAGAGGAGAAGGGCAGAGATGTAACAGTTAGAAGGTGGATGACAACAAATGATTTCACAGTCATCATCATAGCTCTAGTTTATTATTGATATATTGTGAATTGTATTCCTGTTTTTAACACCCCATTCTTAGATATTTAATGTTTCACACAAATGTTACTTTTGTAATATCTCATTTAGACATTAGAACTCAATATCTATTTGAATGTGTTCACAATAACTAGAGATAGAATAAAACAACATGTTAGTAAGATATACTTTTACACTTCTTATTGCATGTACAACTTGTTTGCAAATGTCAAAGGCTTGCATTACAATACAACAAGAACAAACCTGTCTTGTCTTTTTGTATGTGATATGGAACTTGAGTCTGAAATAAAGATTGAATAAACCAACTGCCTCCAGAGAAATACATTTTTCATTTATTGATGAGGCTTGTCCAAGCTTTTGTCCCACGTGAGTGGCTAAGGGTCACTGTGTTTAAATTGTGTTTTACAAGTCAGCTGTTGAAACTGGTGCTAAATGAATAGTAACAGGGTCCCCCTAAACAACATTTGAACATTGCTGGATATAAGACACAATGCTCTAAAAGTAAACCTGCTCCTTTAATGCCCTCTATAGGTGAAAGAAGAGTGTGCAAATATTAAAACCCTCAAATGAAACGGCAAGTGCCTTGAAACAGAAAGGAAGTTGTAACAGATTTCAAACCTGGTCTCCCTGACGAGCCACCACAGAACCAGCTTTGACATGATGGAGGGTCACTCTGCCATCCAGCAGACTGGGGTCCTGCAAGAGAAAAATAAGCAACTCTTCATAAGCTTTAATATCACAAAACACACCTCTCATAATCAGAACAGTCACCCCATCTATCCAGAAATCAGTGATCAGAATTCTCCCAAACAATGTGCCACAATAAGCATGTCCATACAGTATGTATACCAGTTGGTGTTCATTTCCTCTCACCTGCAGCTGGATGATTCCCAGCAGGTCCTTTTTGGCAGCCTGGAAGATTGTGCAGCTCTTACTGAGGTTCGCAGCATCATGGTGCCCCCCACCGTCCGTGCAGTGAAACACTTCAGAGGGCGTGGGCTGCATCGTCACACTCTTCTTCAGATTGGACTACAATGACAGACGTAAGGCAGCGATTGATGGGGGGAAACGAGACGAGCTGCAGCATAACATGCAGAGGATGCTGGGATATGTTGTTGTATCTACAGAGCCAACCTGTGATACTATATGAGGAGGTGGCAGGGGTCTTACTTTGGGAGTGGCAGGACTGGGTGGAGCCTCATCTTTAGTGACTCGTGCTCGTTCATAGGCCATGTTCAAGTCATTTCCTGCAACTAGGGACACAGGAGGAGGATTATGAGTTTATTGGTGTCTGCGCGTGTCCTTGTTTTCAGATCAGTGACTGCAGGACATTAGCAGAGACATATGCCGCTTGGTGATCGCTTATGTTCAAGTCAGTGACCTACCTGCGCTGTCGGTGGGCATCGAGGAGGATCGCAGCTTCCTGTTGCTGTTTGAAGGACTGTCCTTTACACCATCTGTTTATTGGGTGTTGCCAGCACTGGATCAGTGTCAACTCAACACAAAGCACCATTTCAAATGTGTGTATTCTTAGAATGATGTGTGCGTGAATGTGTGACCTGTCTCTGTGGGGCTCTCCGTGGGCCCTGCTGGCAACTCGTCCTGAAAGTGCAAGCGGCGAGTGGTCTTCCCAGAAGTCACCTCTCCTATCACACTGTTGATATTGGATAAGGGCACCGTCTGACTCTCCTGATCATAAGGAAGCAAAATAAATAATTTAACAGTCCATACTTAGTCGGGACAGCAGTAACGTTTAGAGTAGCCATGAAATATTTTATGCATTACACATTTGAAATGCAACATTAAGATAATCTATGTGTTCTGGGCAATCTTTTTAGAAAATAAATATGGTAGAAAAACACTGACTTTGCAGGTATTTGATTGATTTATTCATTGATTTCTTTTTTATGGTTACAATACTAATATAACCCTGAAAGGCAGTCATTTCTTAGAATACAAATCACTGAGAGAAAAACCCACTATAAAAACACGATAAAGCTTTGAAGCGTATTTCCATTGTGGCATTTGATTTATGAGAACAACTTTTAATTTAAAATACGTTTTAAAGCTTCAGGAAATAGCAAAGTGAACGCCCTGCCACATATCATCTTTCAAAATTGTTGAGGAGTGTTTTAGGTTCATCATAAATCATCTTAAACCCTTAGATGCACGAGTGACTGGACCCTTCACTCTTCCATAAATCGGTCAAAAAGGACCTGTATTAGAATAATATGTGTTTTTCTGCCATTTTTGTCATTTTGGTTAAACAAAATTACTTGTATAATATTTTTTATTATATTGTGGTTCACACTCGAAATATTTTATATTTAATTCTTCACTATTTATAATTTTAGACATTTCTTTTACATTTGGAAAAAAAAAAGAAATTCCATAGAAAATGCATGCAGGTCATTTTTGACCCACTTATGGAAGCTAGGGGTAGTAAATACAAAAACTACAATTTCTTAAAATGTAAATTTAAAATTTGAATGGCATGATATCCAAAACATGTTTTTTGAGGAATAGCTGGAATATGAAATGATAAAAAAATGTAATTACAAAGATACTCTAAGAAAACCTCTTAACGGGGTCAAAAAGACCCATCTAAGGGTTAAAGTCTAAGGCAAGCCAGGTTTAAAGGTAACTGCCCCCCCCCTGTTTTCTGTGGAGGGGTTGTAATCATTTGTTCTCATTTCCACTGAGCTTCATGAAGATCTGAGTTATGGTTCTGTGCTTAATGTTGTGTGAAATAAGCTTGGATGTGTGTAACTGAGTGTGTAGGCACCTTTCTGTGGTTGTTTATGTACACATTCCACTGGTGCTTAGGTATTTAATGTGAGCTTCTAAGCTTGACTGTATGTGTACACACACACGCTCACAAATATGTGTGCACAAATTAATTTCCCTCCTACCGGATTGAAGAGCTCAGTGGTTAGGCCCAGATAGTTATGTAATGCCAAGAAGGTGACTCGTTGGAGGCGCACCATGATTATCTGCAACACACACAAAATCAACGTTAACAGAGCAAAACATATTATACATCAGACTGTAATTACATCTAATAACATCACGTTTTAATGAATGATGATGTGTGAGGGAGAAACTTGTCTCAAGGGAATAAATCTCCATACTGTATATTTATTTACAAACAATCAGTTACCTGAATGACGCGAACGAGTGTCTCTGGGTATTTCTTAAACACAGACTCAAAGGCTGACACAGGCAAACGTAGGATGGTGGAGCGGGTAGCGGCACGAGCACATACAGTCTTATAGGGAGCCGGATAACCCTGGGAAAGGCAGAACAGTTCAAACTCAAATGTCACTTATGCCTTTGATACTTACTTGGCTGCATTGTTGGTGGCCACCTGATAGGAACAGTTCATGAAAAAATGATTTGTACTTTTGTTTTTGCTCTCATTTTATCTCCAATTTATTTGATAAGTTAAATGAGTTTTTCCAAGCTTTGATTTCTTTGAATTGTTTTGCTTGCACTGAACATGAACCATCCTTCATTCTGTGGATTCTGTGGATCTCAGAACAGCAAACCGCCTTGAAATGTTTAAAAGCTCATTAAAAACCTATGTCTTTAATATGGTTGTTAATTTGGGTTAACTTTCACTCACTAGTATTATTGTCCATGTTTTACTGTATTGTTTCTGTTTTGCTTTTATTTTCCATTTTTTATTTTAACATATTTTAATTTCTTGTCAGCTTTAATTCACGGGAATTCATTAGGATCACTGTAGATGTTGTATCTTGTTCTGTATTTGTTTTAATATTGTTGTTATATTTTCTGTAAAGCACTTTGGGCTGCTTTGTGCATGAAAGGTACTATACAGATAAAGTTTATTATTATTCTGTTAGGAAATATAGCGATAGGAATGTCTAAAAAGAAAACTAAAACTACGAAAACAGTTCAAATTGCTGACATCTTAAGAACTCTAAAAGATGCAGCGTAGTATGAGTATGACAGCATAGGAAATAGAAGCCAAATTGAGCATGCCACTAGAGATCATATCTAAATGAAGTGGTTGACACAAAGGGGTATGGGTGGTGTGAATAAATACATTGAGTTAAACAGGAAGTACAAAAGGAATTGGCTCTAAACAAGAGAATGAGTGGAAATATAAACCGTGGAGAGAGGTGACACGAACAGATCAGAGAGCAAAAGAGGACAGAAGCTGAGACGTTGCTCACAGTGATGATGTCCAGGATACTGAGCAGGCTGTGGACGCTGTCTCCTGGGACCACATCCTTCACCACTGGCTCTGTACCATCCTAAAGAAAACACAAATACAAGCGGATGAGTCTTTAATCAAACTTCACGGTGAAGCCACACATAAGATGCACATTTCAAACTAATCTACAGGATTCTTTGGGATTAGTAAACCTAGCCACAATGGCGAGAGCTTTAACAAAAAGACTTGGAGGCCCTCCTGATCTTTCAATACTCATAGAATCAATCAGCACATTCAAATACTAACCAAGGTGTTGTGAGCTATACATGTCTTTCTACTTCTTGAAGCTTTAACAGTAGACTGCATCAAGACAAATGATGGTTTACTGCCCTCTGCTGGTCATATGTTTTCATTAGTTATGCACGAAGGTTAAGGAGGACATTAAGACTGTCATAACAGAGAGCAAAGTGTGCATGTGCCCTTTTTTCACACTTCATTAAGATCACATGTGTTGACAACAATCAGAAGCACGATTGCTAATGACCTGTCCCAGTTAAAGCAGCATTACAAAAATAGCAAAGGTGTCATGTTTTCTACAAGTCGGTCTGGAAATGAAACATTTAATTTATCACATATATTGTTATTTTATCTACATAACATTTTTGTATATTAACAATAGTCAAAAAGGCTTCGTGTAGTATGATAGAACTTATTAATAAAACGGTAAAAGGGCACAAGAATCGCTCAAAATGTAGTTTTTCTGAGAAGAAGATAAAGTCAAATTCAACTTTCTGTCCACATACGGTCTCCTGGATGCGGAGTTCCAGTCGTCCGTCCTGTACCACGTAGATGCTGTCGTCATCGTCTCCTGGCCGGAACAGACCCTCGCCCTCCTGCAGCTCAATAAACACCATGTGGCGACACAGCTCAAGGAACAGGGGCTTCTCAAAGTGACCCAAGACCCTACAACAAATTGCAGCCCACACACATTATGAGAAAAAACACATGGGAGAACAAAAGGGAAGTCTGTAGGAAATATTGTTTTGTTTTTTTACCTGACATTCTTCAGCATATAGAGGACTTCCGAGGGAAGGTTTGAGCTCTGAACATCAAACTCTGTCAGGTCAGCCTCCAGCAGGGAGGGGGGTGGTTCCTTGGGCTGCAGGGTGGGGGGGTCTTTTCTGATCCTCAGGATTCTGTTGAATGACAATTCTTTTTTTTTTAACTAATCTTAATGAACAGGTCAAAAGCTAATTTGAACAATTACTTTTCACTTATACACACTCATTTAGAAAAGTATGAATGGATCATACTTGCGAGCTATGCTTAAAACTTTGGTTCTTTTGCGAATGCGCTGCGGTTGCTTAGATACTGAGGTAGAGCTGGGAGGAGGAACCGCTGACAGCGTCTGGACCTTAAAAAAAACAAAACAACATCCATGTTTTTAATGACTCATCATTTTTTACTTTGGACAGATAAATACATTGATATGACATATCATGTAGCCCAAATAAATACACATAGGTGGTGAAAACAATGGCAAATTGCTGGGAATTAATAGTCTTATGAGGACCTGCATTAATCACCAAGGTAAATGCATTGGTGAATTTCAGTCTAACGGTATCAGAGTACATTACAGTGAATGGTGTTATTATAACCAGTGGAGTAGGTTTCATGCAGTGGTGTAACACGATACAAACACTCAGTCTTTGGGGAATGGGCTTACATTACAGTTTGATGAAGGGAAAATGTGCAAATTACAAATTTGCACAGCATATGTTTGCCCTTAATACATTCAAAAGCCTATTTACCAACTTTATAGTACTGAAATAAGTCTACCCAGCTGTTAACACTTGTACGAGTGAGACAGAAATGGAAAAAGAGAAACCTTTCTCATTATCTTCCGTCCATAGAAGAGCACTTTATCTCGTTTCCTAAAGCGATACTGTGGTACACCAGGCTGTTTTGCACCTTATTAAACAATCACAAAAACATCCATGTTAAGATGAGATAGTACTTTATTGATCCAAATTTGGGAAATGTTTGTGTTGCAGCAGCATAAAAGACATGGCATTGTACAATACAAATTAAGTAGAAAATATACAATTTACAAATTAACAAAATATTAAGCAAGTTATTATATTTTCAAGTATGTGAGGGATGGAATATTAAAAACAACAATCTGTAAAAGACTGAAAACAAAATATAGACTTTCCTGAACAGCCATATCATTTAAGGAACCCAAATAAACATGAACTATAGCATTGAGATAAAGTTAGGGTAGAGGTTGGATGACTCACGAGCGAGCTTGAATCTCCTGTAGAGGAAGAGCACCACAATCCCAATGAGTGAGACAGCGACTGCCGCTCCAATCAGCACACCTGTAAGCTAGAAGATAGACACAGGAAGCTTTGTCAACATAGTATGGACACAGGAGAGGGTGTTTTAGTGTAGCTGCCCTCAGAATCTCATTTTAAGTGGTGTCCTAGTTAAAGACCACGTACACATTTGATGCTGGTTAAGTATGTAGGGCATTCACACTAGAAAATAAACTTATTTTTCTTCTTTGGTGTTTATTGTTATACATTTATAAGTTGGCAAACCAACTTGTAGGTGCATTACCGCCACCAACTGAACTGGAGTGTGGACAAGAGACTAAGCAGAAAATAATAAACAAAAGAAAGAAAAGAAAAGAAAAAAGAACTAAACCTCTAGATTATTTTAAATGTATCAATTTCTCTTAGAAATGTAATAATCTCACAATACATATTGCCTGATGTTTTCCCTAACAGCCCTGCTAGCGAAAAGTCATCATATGCTGCTTTCTTCAGTGTCTGGAAAAGCACATTTCTCTGAGTGCTATATTTCCTGCAAAGCAGTAAAACATGTTCGACAGTTTCTGGCTGGCTACAGTGTATACACTTTCCGGTTGGATGCTTTCCTGTTTACTTAATGTATGATTGAGACCTGTATGACCTATTCTCATCCGAGAAATGACTTTGTCTTCCCTTCTTTTAAACCCCACCTTCCTTCCATCCTCCACATATCTTTGCATTTTATAAAGATGTCTTCCTGTATCACTAATGTCCTTGCCATGTTTGTGCATATCTCTGTATGAATGTTTTAGATAAACTAAATGAAGTCACAGTATTTATACTAAAACACTAGATGTTAGTGTGCTGTTGATACAATATCGTCCCAAGGTGATGCAAAAAGGAAATAAGAGGACTTGTTTGTAGTGTTGAAAAAACTAAGGGATGCATTTTTGTTTAACTGGCAAGTCATGGTTTGTTAGATAAGATAAGATAAGATAAGATAGAACTTTATTGATCCCAATTTGGGAAATGTTTGTGTTGCAGGAGCATAAAAAGACGTGGCATTGTACAATACAAATGAAAAGACAAGAAATAAATAAGAAAGTAGAAAATATAAATGTTGAATTTACAAATTAACAATAACAAGATATAAAGCAAGGTATTATATTTACATAAGTATGTGACGGATGGAATACTAAATATTAGAATGAATATATAAATGTAAAAAACAAGTACCGTATATGAGTACAAACAGTATAGCCTTGTTTTTTATACATACTAACTGGAAATAACAGTGTACAATCACGACAACACAGTATGCATGGTAGTGCCTATACTTGCTGGGTAGAGCCTACTGTATGCTGTCACAATGAATTGATATCTCATACCATGGTGGTCTGCATCCTTTCCTCCAAAAACCGTTGCAATCTTATTCCAATTTCAGTTTTGCTGTTCACCTAAAAGCATCATTTAGATTATCACAGTTATTTCAATACAATAAACAGTAGGTATTGTTCAGAAAAAGTCACCACTGTTATGCCAAGTTGTTTAGCGTTTGCTTTAAAAGAAACTGTTCTGCTTACTAAATATTTCAATCTGCAGAATTCTCCATCATCCTGTCCTTGGCAATCCATCCTGTTGTGAAAATCAAAATCAGGGTTTCACAAGTGACATGCCTTTGTATTCAGTCAACAACAATAAACATAGGAGGAACATAAAGGATACAAGCAAGTTGTGCATAGTGTTGATATAGAATATGATGATACACATTGACAATAGCAAAACATAAGGAAGCTTTGAGTAGCTTTACTTTGAGTATAATCGCACAGAAGAGAGGGGGTTAAATGGAGATCACGAGTTGTTTGTGGAGGAAAGGGGAAACTATGAAAACAGCAACATTAATTTGTGAATAAACAGCACTTGCCGCCACCAGTCATCCTCATCATCTTGATTCCTGTCATTATGACGTAACAAGTCAAAGAAAAGCTAATGTAATAACCCCAAAACTAAGTAACTGGAGGCTGTTGTTGTGGCTGCAGTCCCAGCGTTAGCTTGGCGTAAGCTAACACAACACAAGCTAGCAGATGGATAACTAAAGTTACCCGTATTGCCAGTAAGTATATCCAAAGTTCACTAACATAATAGCATAAAGAAATACCAAGTGGACAGAAAACATTCCGCTTACTTTTCGAGGATTCGTGGGGCGCTGTGTCAGGCTGGTAACATTTCAAAGACACGATAGAGCGAAGTTAGCAAGTAGCTAACAAAGTTTTCTGTATTCTGCCTGTCACTTGTTTAGCCCCGCCCATGTTTGTACGTCCACCAATAGCTTCTTTAATGTCTGTTGTTGCCTTGGTACCGTTCAACGCCCTTGTCAAATCGGGAACGGAGCATGCACAAACTTGTCTTTCTAGTTACAACATTAAACGCAGGTATCCTTTGTTTAACAAAAGACTATGGCTTTGAATCCAATCAAATGGTGTAACATAATCAAGAACATTTACTGGAGTGCTGTTCTTCAGTGGTGGAAGAAGTATCAGATCCTTTACATTACTTAAAGTACTAATACTGCTCTGTGAAAAATATTCCATTAAAAGTAAAGATATTGCATTCAAAACCTTACTTAAGTAAAACGATGTGAGGATTATTATTGTATTTTAAGTATGTCAGTTGTGCAATACATCTTAACCTGTCATTGTTTAACTATTATATATGATATCGGTTTTTGGCTGCATAATGTGTATGTTGCTTATAATTGGTGCACATATGTAGGGTCGTTCTAGTAAAAACAATTGTACTGTTGGGTGGTTTACAGAAATGCATCATATTCTATAAAATCATCACACGCTTTGTCCCTTTAATGTTGCAACCTTGTATATTTAAAAAGAGTTTCTTAGAAAAACACCTATGTTTTCAGCTTTGTGGTGATTCATTTACCAGGTGACTCAAGGTTTAAAATGTGTTTATTTAGCTTAAGAAGCAAGAGAATGTTGTCAACAAAGGAACATTTGAAATTAACACATCTGGAGAAGCGTGGTTTTTACACTTCATACATTTAGCAGCTAATGTTTTTCTGGCATTTACAGGTACATTGTTTACACATTTAATTACACATTATTGCAAACTCACCCAATATTCCTACAACCAACACCAAACTTGTTTACAACATCTTGTAAAGGACATCTTTATCAATAGGGTTTTTTCTTTTTCTTTACTCGGTCTTCATTCTTTTTATACATTTTGGCAAAGTTCAACATAACAGAGTCACTACTAAGACACACGCACTCATTTTCAAACACAAAAATGAAGAGGACGGACAAAGGTTATTAGCGATGGTAACAAATAATTTATTGAGAGAAAAACATGTCTGTGAGTTGAAAAACGTACCATTAAAAGACAATTTAATAGCAAACCATAGCTTACTGTCTGCCATATCTACAGACTAAATGTGTATTCCATGTTTGCACATGTACTATTCCTGAACATAAAATAATTGCTTTAAAGTTGCATCTGATTTCATGTTTGAATGTAATTCATTAATTTAAATCAACATTGTGGCAATGAAACAACACAGAAACAATACATGCATGCAAAATGACTAACAATATACATATTTCCTTGGATTTACAGTGCTTTCTTACTATAACCACAGCATACAACATAACATACAGTATATACAAATACAGATTTTAAGCAACTTTGAAGTAGCAGTTGGCAAACCTAATTGATAAAAATAACAGTTTTCTAGAAAGCTATATGCCAATGCAGACCCATTTCATTATCAAAAATCTTATTTTCAGACAAATAAAACATAAATCATGTACAGTTTCCATGCACCTGTTGTTCTCTGTATTTCTCATTTTATTATTTTTTGCTCTGACTTACACTGCTTCATCTGTTCCTGTGATTTATTTGTTCAGGTACTTTGCCACAGAGTGGTAGGCAATAAGGATCTCTGAAGCATTCGGGCAGGTGTAACGAAACTGATCTTGTTTGTAGGCATTATCCAGGTAACGTGTCAGACCTTTCAGTTCTTTAGGGATGTCAAAGTCGCGGTACTGCTTACACACCACCTGCAGAAAGAGAGGTTTTAAGATGGTATTATATGCAATAAGATATCAGGAGAATTGAATTAGTTACACATTACTTTAAGTTATTATTACACATTTTTACTACAGAATTATTTTTGGATTTCTGTACCAATGAAGGAAACAAATGTATCAGTGGAAGAAGAACTATTTTACTTAGCTAAAAGTTGCAATTTTATAGAGTACAAATATTTAGTTATAGGCAAAATTCCTGTATTCAAATGTTTACTCAAGTAAAAGTACAAATGCATTAACATCAAAATATACTTAAAGTACAAAAAGTAAACGTACTTTTAGCAGAATCATAAATAATACATTATTGTAAGTGATACATGTGTTCATCACTTCAAAGTTGCTCTTGGTAAAAAAAAATTGTATTACTTTATAAACATCTAAGTAGCTTTACTTAAAATTATATATCATAATTGATTTGTGGATTCATATTTTGTATGAATAATCTAAATATGCAAGTAGACAAAAAGTTGAGTAAAAAATATAATGTTCCATAAAGTGAAAATAATCAAATAAAGTACAAATTCCTCTCATTTGTACTTTATCAGAGTACTTGAGTAAATGTACTTGTATTCAACCACTTGTTGTCGTACTGCTGAAGTCTGTTTACCTTGACAATGTTGAGTTTGGGAAGCAGGTTGCAGTCTGCCAAGGTGAGAGATTCCCCGTCCAGGTAGAGGCGTGTCGACTGGGTGGCGTTGGGGTTCTGGTCCAGCTCGTGAGGGAGGGGCGTCTCCAGGTACATGTTCAGCTTCACCAGGGTGGACAGGAATTTAGTCTCCAACACTGAAAGACAGAAAGGTATCACAGGCTTTTGTTATCCACAGTATCCATAAATTACAGTAATTCTTTTTTGAAGTATCCAGAGATGATGCCCTCACTGTTATTTATTCCAGAATTGGGATTCTTAATGTAGCCTGAGAATTTTCGGAAGATGTCATCTCCAGCACCGTTGGACTCTTTGTATCGACAGCACAATTTTGGATACCTGCCATTGGGAGAATAAAACATGTATTTATTCAAAACGTTTTTGTGTTTTTAGTATTAATGTATTTATTTTTTCATTGTATTTTACATTGTTTATATTTTTATAAATATTCATCTGAAGTCATTGGTCTGTGAAGAAAAAGTGAAAAATACTTATTTAAAAATTCTTTTATTATTCTTTTATCTACTCACTCAGGCTGGGCTAGGTTTTCCTCCAGGAACTCCTCAATCTTGTTAGTGTCCGTTTTGACTTCATCGTTGAAGATGAGGAAGGGGGGCTGAGAGCCCGGAGCCAGAGCCTTCAGCACAGCAGGGGCCCTGCAACAGAACAGCAAACAAGGTGTAGCTCAAATAAAAACGATGCCAAATTAGTAATTGCTTCAACTGGATTTCTTCCACTTTACATTTCTAATTGTGTTTCAGGACTCATTAAAAAGTGATTTCTGACCATCTCAAGACATCAATAGATAATTAACTGCTTTGAGTTTTGCTTCAAACTTTTTCTGTGTGAGGAGATCTTAATTTTGTTTCCTACTTTGTAGGTTGGTCCTGGGTTTGATCTTGTTGGCCATTGATTTATTTGTGTCTGTTTTTTTACTTTCTTCATGTGAGGTACGGCCGTTTCCTCCTAAAACTCTTACTATTTTCCCTTGTGTGCTGACACAGGCTACATTTCCTCTGCAACCCTGTCCACACTTTGGATAGAGGGATGACTTCATAAAATATTGAAGTACAGAAAAGAGCAAAAAACCTAAACATCATATTTTTCATTGTACTGCAAGTTGTACGTGTTAATCTGTTAAATCAGTCTTGAAGACGGGACCAGTAACTTTAGGAAACAACAATAAGGAGTGTTCTCACCTCTTCATGTCCACAGTGGTGAGGGTAAAGTTGGCCCCTTTCAACCAAAGAATCATGAAGAGTCTCTGGGAGAAAGGACAGTTCCCCACACTCTCAGCATCAACACTGGCCTGACCGGCACAAAGACACAACATTAAGAACACATGCAAGACAAATAACTGATATCAGAGTATGTAGTAGTAAACTGCCTCTAAAGAAATGTATTGGAAAATACATACTTTATGCAAGACGCTACAGGTTAATATAGAAAACAAAATAGTAAGAGATTTTACTATGAAACTTCCCTAGTTTATAAGAAAATAATGTTTTGTAATAAAAGTTGAAATGTTATGTTTAAATATGCAAGTGAGGCATTATCTAATGCTAACTTTTGGTGAATGTATTGGGAATCTACAGACGTAAAAGTAAAATAAACACAATTGTGAATTTTGGATGTTTTCTTTCCACAAGTCTGAAAGAAGGCCTTCTATTGAAGCCCAAACTCTCACATTTGACTAGTTCATGGTAAACAATGTTTTACCTGTATTGTCACACCTTATAACAATAGGAGTCAACATGTTCTTGAAATGGGACACTGGTATGTTGTTTTCAGTATCAGTGCTGCAACGTATCTGACCACATAAAGTCTTCCTGATCGCTGAGGAATTTTAAGTGGAGAGTTGACGCTGCTTTACACCCAAAGGAAACAGCCCAGTTTTTAGACGATGTTTGGTATGTCATGCATTTCACTACAGCATGTCATCATTGAGTCAAAGGCGTTCATGGAGGCAAACACATTTTTGAAAGGGCAGAAAAAAGGTTTCCAAACTGGACAGGCCTCTTTTTCAGTTTCTACTGTTCACCATAAGTGCACACATTGATAATATCTCAAAAAACCACTGAAAGATAACCTCAACTCAGTTACAAGAGTCCATCACAAAACAGAGAGTGGAATAGTATCATTTCAACTGTACATCAATTGCCATTCAATGCATTGCAACGTTCATACAGAATGAACATGTTGGAAAGTCCCATACATTATGAGCTAAAACAAAAATAATAGATAGACTGACTAAAGAATACTGAAGCAGGCACTTTGATATCTGGAAATTGTCTGTTTATAATCTTTTATTTCATCTCATTTGAGATGTAAGGCTACCAAAGGAACAGTGTGAGATGAAATACAGAAAAGGGAAACAATGGCATGCTCATATCATTTCTAAAAGAAACTGAAGGCTTACAAGATGTTAGTTGTCAACGAATATGTAGTACATACATATGTAGGTAGGGCATTTACACAATTGTATCCATATCTGTTGTGTTTAATCACAACACATCACAAGTAGGTCTTACCTTAACGAAAAGTTCAATCTTCGGGGACTCGGCCATCCTTCTTCCTCTCTCTGTATCGTATGTCCTCTTATTTCCAATGGATGCACAAAATGGTTTGCCTCAGTCCCTGACAATGCAAAAACAATCCAGACATTAAAGAAAAATTTGTGCCTGGGAGGTAAGATTCCTTTTTAATTATGACTATTTGCAACCTCATTCTTTCCTTCTCACACACACCCATTTTTACACACGTCACTCTTAATAGTTTTTAATTAAACTATTAGTAACATGTAATGAAGCTTATACTCACAGTAAGCACTGGATGCTTTTTCTCCACCTGTAGAGTTTTATATTCCAGTATTATTTCCTCTCCGTCTCTTACAGCCGTGTGTGCGGCTGGATCTGGTTTTTGTCCGTCTCTCACCACACCTGTCACACTCTCAGAGGCAGCCCACACCCCCTCCGGCCTTTCCAGTTAGACAAGTAAATCTGGATCTCTGCTCTCAGCCTTGCAGCATATTTTCTGAAGGAAACAATCCACCCTCACTCTGTAACTGTCTCAGTCCTTCAACTTTCTCAGTATGTGTTTGTCCATGTCACTTTCTCTCTCCTTTTCATTCAAGAATTCTGAGCAAGCTGGTTGTTTTCTACCACAACACTAATCTAAAAAAAAAAAACCTTCTTTATGGACCTGACTAGGTCCATTGGGGGATTGTCGTGTTGAAACAGAAATGTGCCTTTCCCAAATGTGTCAAGTTTTAAGACAGTGCTTGATGCATTCTGTATTCATGTCAGAAAATGCTCTCATGTTGCAGGTATTTGCAGAGGTTTTCTGAGATAGCAGGAAGAAACAACATACCCTAAAAAATTGGAGCAATGTTGAAAGCAGAGAGGAGGGAGATATAGATCCCATAACAGAAGGAAACAAATTGGGGGAGATAAGGCAAACAGAAAAAGGTAATTGCATAGGGAGGACGCACAAGCGAGGAAATCATAAGGGTGTGAGTGAAAGTCACCTGTGACTCTGCGCTGAGGAATCCACAAATTGGATTCATATTGTATGAGGCTAATTAAAGTAATTTAGTGAATAGGATAGTTCGATTCAAGATATCACCTTTCTTTCATTGCATTCAGCCCTGGGAACCAATCAAAATAAACAAAACGTCCTGTTTGATGAGGTTGTTGCTGTTGTTTCTGAATACATCTGACATATAATATAACCTCACGTCAATCTCCCACATGAAAACCCCTCTTACCAACCTTTATAATCCTAAAGCAAAGCTCTGTTTATTTGTTACCATCTTTGCCTTCTCATAGTTTGCATACCTCTAAGAGAGACGTTTCCTCCTCAGAATCAACCATGTGGAACTATCTAGTATTTCTTTGGCAAAGAACAGATTAGACAAACTTGAGCTTTGTCCTATGACATACTTACTTCCTTATTAATAAACCCCAAAGTTAAGAACAATAGGGATACATTGCAGCTATCTTGTTTTTCAAAGTAAACCGTTTAACCTTGCTGACAAATGAAGCTCAGCGCAAGTTCTTTCAGGAAGACTGGTATACATTAATTCCACAGCTGCTTAATCAGCTCATCACGGGCTTCCTGCTAACCTACATTAACCTCAATCTCAGCAGCCAATCACTGTGCTGCAGCCAAACTTTAAAATGGTTCTCCTCTCTTCTGCAGTCAGCTGTGATTTCAGGTGTTCATGCTGCCGACCACCTCCTCCCCATCCACCTCCTTTCATCACATCCAGTGCCAGGAGAGCTAATCCAAAGACCTCATCACACCTCCTCTTCATCCGATCTCCTCATCAAATCCAGATCTTCAGCATCATCACCAGTGTCTAGACCCCGGGGGGGTTCCCTATACTCACGGCTGCATCCCCCCTTTAGATATACGATTTCAGGATCGGGTCTAATCGCCAAATATTTAACATTTATCATGTGGCATGTGTCAATAAATGTTCTTTAAACAAAATGAGGTCTAAATGATGTTCAACAAAATATAGCAGGACAAGTTAAAGAATCAATTATATTTACAATGAGTTGAAAAAACAAATATTGTTAGTTACTTTTTACAATGGCGTTGCATATATTTTGATTATGGCTGGATTATGGTTTGCCTCTTAATCTAATGTTAACCGAGTTTGCATTTAGCCTTTTGCGCTGTCCCTTTGCTGTAACAATGTACATATTCCTGATGAGGGACAAATAGGTATTCTGATTCTGAAACGGGTCTAGGGTTATGAAAAAGAGGCAACATACTGTAAGGTTCACACTCTAGAAAAGTTCAATGCTGATGGCAACTTTTGTCCGTCAGAGGATACATTTACATTGTTAAAGATAGTTTTAAGTATGAATATATCACATGAGAGGGAATAGATGGGTGTGAACTCTGAGGCTGATGAGGGAATGAGATGCAGGTGTGTAGTGTAGGGGGGGGGGGCAATCAGGTGGTGGGGAAGAGACGGGGCATCTGCGGAAGGGTGTGAAATGGCAATGAAAGGGCCTGGGAACAAAAGATTGTGGCAACACAACACTGCCCTCTTGTGGTCCTTTATTATACAAATATACATTTAAACCTGAATAAACATGGCAGAAATGTAATCTGCTATGTAGGATTTGGATTGTTCCTTAAGTATTCATAAGTCTTTAGTGCTTGATTTAAGCTAATATAGTTAACATATACAGTATATTTTAAGTGTTAAAGACAGATGCAACTTTTTTAATTATTATTTATAAAAGTGATGATGTCATTTATTAATATAACAATTTATTTTGGTTGTGCAAATTCCCATTGATGATACATCTGCTTCTTCATTTCTTAACATTAGCATGGCTGATGTGAGTGGCACCTGCTTTCTTAAATGCCTCAGAGGCACGTGTACTTAAATCACACTTTTCAGTGTTTTTAGCTTTTATTTTTTTCCACAGACAGCACAGCTGAATTTTGCTGCTCAGTCTGTATGAAACATTTACATTTGAGATATGAGATCATTTATTTCCAATCATATTTATACACTTCAAATGTATCACTTTTAAAGACAGAGGAGAAAACAATCAACCACAGAAACTATAATCAAAAGGGTAAAAATCCTGAACCAACCATGCATAAAGTATCACAAAGATAAACAATTTTTACCATTCAGTGCCTCTGCCACACACATCAATGCTCTTTGTGGGAATAAAAAAAGGGCATCAAACTTGTACATGCGTATACTTTGATATGTTAACCTCTACAATGTAGCGACACGATGATGAATCATTGCTTTGTGCTCACTCTTGGGTAACCCTTTAAATCCTGTTGTACACTCTTCTTCTTTCCCATCAGAGCACACATGTCGCAAACACCCCCTGAATGGTTGTTCTCCATTTTTAAAGACAGCAGGGAGCAGATAAGTGTACATTTCACCACAAAGTAGGAGTTTAAGGGGGTGTGGAAGAAAAAGGAGGGGTTGCACGATGCTCGTCATCTGAACTCATGTTCCACAATAATTAGAAAACCAGCTTCCTTTAAAAGGGGCTGGGTTATTGGTTTTAAAGTACCTCAAGCTCATGATGATTGTCATACCAGCCGCGACCAAAGATGGTACCAGTGCTGACTGAGGACGGAGGACAGGCCGCTCATCTCTTGATCAGGTTAGTGTTGTATTCATAAATTGTGTTTTATGGCATGCCCTTTGCACCTTGTAGCCTAACGCTGAACAAAAGCCACTGAGGCAAAGTGCCACTGCCAACATCAATCTTTCACCACATCCTGTTCACAGTTTGTCTTAAAACGTATAACTCTGGAGGGTAACTTAAAAGGAATTATATCATTCATATTTAAAGGCTTTATCTCTTAATCTCTCACCTTCGCTGGAAAATGTTCTGGTTATGATATTCTACTTTTCAGTTACAAAACACCTTTAACGTTTATTCTTTAAAGTAAAGATTTCGGCTTCAAAAGAAAATAATGAAATAACTGGGCAGTTTGTTTTTATACCAAATGATGTAGATATATATGTTCTTGAGCTGCGGAGCTTCTGTTGTGCCAATGTATGGTTCTTTCCCTTATTTTATGATGCAGCCAGGATGCTCTTAAAAGGTGTTTTGGATTGAGATAGTGGGAGAGGTATGTGATGAAAGCTTTGTTTAGAGGTATTATTTAATTCCACAGGTTGAAATTATACGAGTATTCATTAGTTCCTCGTGTGCACACTGTTCAGTTAATGGTCTTTTTCCTTTTTATAATGTTCTTTCCAAAGAGGAAACTACAGCAATGAGGCGAGATACTTTTAGGACTGGATAACTGGAGTATGATTCAATAACTGCAAACTAAGCAAATAAATCATCAATCTACATGTTTTCCACTTTGAATATGTATTGAATTATTTTCTATCCCTCCTAAGACATTAAAGAAAGTATTGACAAACGATTAAATGTTTGTCTTTAAGTGGTGACTGACTGGGAGATGATATCAATGGATAGATGTTAATTTAGTTTAGACTAGAGCACGTATAACTCTTTCAAATATTTTCACTTTTTGTCCATACAGAGAAAAGGAAGCATATACCGGTACTCCCGTTCCTCTTGATTGAGCAGAAATCTGTCATGGTGTCTGGTTTGAGAGGGAGGTCGTGATTCTTCCTCATACGAGGAGTCACAGCTGAGGACCTGATGGTAAGTCCTCGTTAAAAATCTCATCAGAGGATTACATCACAGACACTCAAACAAAACCTGCAAGCTAAAAAAGTGATTTTCATCATTTAGAAACTTTGAGGAATCAATTTGGTTTTCACTTTACATTGTCATGACTGCCACACATGAGGAATTCCCCTTTGAGGTGGTGGCTTATATGTCCTATTAATGTGTGTCACCTGTTCTGCTCTCTAAGGGTCTTCAGTGGTTACATGGAGTATACATTTGGAAGGAAGTAGTTAATACAATATGTTTTTCCTGATTAGGCTTAAGAATACTTTTTTTTTGCCAGAGAGGACTCTTACTCTTGATCTGTTATATATCATGGTGCAATTTAATCAAATGAATCTTATTTAGTCACATTATATTATTTTCAGTCTATTCAGTAAAACATTTGAGTCTTTGTATTCTTGGTATGTTAAGTATGTCCTAAATGCTAAATTGGTCATTGGTTTCCAGACATACCTGTACAAAAATAGAAATCAATTAGCACATTTAAAAGAATTATGAGGAAATTCACAGATTGATTTGAAATGATTTGCCTCAGCAATGATTTGTATGTATTATGGAAATGAATCAGAAGGAAAGGTACATCAACATTGCTCAACAGAGCAGCACACTTTACAAAAAATGGTTAGTTGTGATGTTAAGTATATGATTTGTAATGATTAGATTTAAACCTGCAAAAATAACATGTACGCGAAAACACCACGGTTCTCCTTTACAATCCTACTTAATTTCTTTTGCAACAGGGGTGTTACAACACTAAGAAGACTGGGCTCGGCTCAATGAAGAAGCGCCTCCTCCTCCTCTCCTTTCTCTGTGTTTTACCGCTGTGTCTTCTCAATGCATGGTGGAGAAGATTTCCGGCCAAGACAGCTATAAATCCTTCCAGCTTCTATAACATCACGATCCTGCTGTGGCATTGGCCCGACGGCAGGTCGTCGTCCCTGAAGGGGGACACGTGCTGGGATCTCTACCGTATCCCTCGCTGTAGACTGGTGGACCAGCGCTCCTTGTTCCCCTCCGCTGATGTGGTGGTGTTCCACAACAGAGAGCTGGCACTGGGCCACCAAAAGCTGCCCCTTGACCTTCCACGGCCACAGGGCCAGAGGTGGGCCTGGATGTCCCTGGAAGCCCCTATTCACAATGGAAAGTTGCATCAGTATGCAAATATATTCAACATGACCATCAGCTATAGGAGAGATGCTGATGTCACTATTCCATACGGCCAGCTGCTACCAAAGGAGGCTGAAGGACATCTGGTGGACAATGTCCCTCTCAATAAGAGCTCCTTGGCCTGTTGGGTGGTCAGCAACTACAGAAATCACCACAAGAGAAGCAAAGTGTACAAAGAGTTAAAGGCAGTAGTTCCTGTGAAGGTTTACGGACGTTGGACCGATACACCTCTTTCCCAAGATGCCCTCTTACCTACAATCTCTCGCTGCTTCTTCTACTTGGCTTTTGAGAACTCAATCAGCAAAGATTACATCACAGAAAAACTGTGGAGGAATGCTTACCAAGGTGGCGCGGTGCCTGTCGTCCTGGGACCCCCGTTAGGCGACTACAAATCTGTGGCTCCACCTAATTCTTTTATCCGGGTCGATGAGTTTGCATCAGTCAAGGACTTAGGAGAGTATCTACAGCAGCTTGCAGAGGACAAGAAACGCTACAGTGAATATTTCACTTGGAAACATCAGTGGACAGTAAAGTTGTACAAAGACTGGAGGGAGAGACTGTGTAAGATCTGCTCACATTACAACAGCTTACCTCAGGAGAAAGTTTACTCCAGTCTAGAGGCCTGGGTCAAGGGCTAATAACACTTGAGCTTGCATATACATAGTTAATGTGTAATTTATCACATTTTTGGAGGATTAGCATCCTTGATATTTCAGGAAAATCCCTTTTTAAGGGCACTTTGGAAACATGCTTATTCACTGTGAGCACCTACCCAACACAACTTACATTAACTATTTCATACTAAGAATGACCAAGAGAAATAAGTCCCCATTGATATCCGTAGCTCTTTTTATCAAACACGTGGAGTAAAATGGATTTAACTTTTTTAGAGCTGTGCTGTTTAGCATTTTTCCTCTTTAAAACTCATGTACAAGCACAAAGGTTACTGTAAACACTGATGCACTTCAATGTAATTGAAAAACAAAAGCATTATAGTTTATGTCTGGTGGACACTGTTAAGGGCTTTAAAACACATTCAAAAATTAAACTAGTGTCGATAAAGTCTGCATTTGTTTTCATGTAAAATAGTTACATATTGTACTCAAAACAGAAACATGTGAACCATTTGATCTAAATTAAAGTCAAATTAGCTTCAGTGTGCTCTATTCTACTGAAGAGAAAGCTTGGAATCTTCATGAACTACATTGTAAATATTTTAGTAGAGCTGCATTATTCAAAAGGCTAGCCTGTTGAAGTATTCGGGCTTGGAGATGTCCGAGACTCTTTTTAAATATTTGTTGTCTGGTTTCAACTTCCCTTCCCAAATTAAAAGATTGTTTACTTAATGAATACATTGTGATTGAGTCTCATTGCAGGACACTCCCTGAATTACTTATCTATACAAAGCTCAGCTTCCTCAAACTGATGCAAAACAAGAGGTTTTACCGAAAAATACCTGTTTAAAAAATATATATAAAAATCAGTGTTGGACATATTCAACACATGGAATGTTTCAACAAAGTCAGTTTTACTAGATTTTATGCATTTAAGGTTGAGGTCGTTTGGGTTGAAAACATTTTAGCATAGCTACCAAGTCAATAAATTATGTTTTAATCCATTAACGATCTGTTGAGGAAATGTTGCAGAAAATCCCAGTAAGCGTGTAGCAAGTTTGATTTCACGTTGGTAATATCAAAGTAAAAATCAATCCTGAGGCAATAATCCACACTTAGATCATTCTGGGTTGAACGGATTGGTGACATTTAATGTCTTCATGTATGCAAATTACAGTCTTTAGAGTACAAAATATCTTCTTAAAACAATACCAGACAAAAACACCAATTAGCATCCAAATTTAACTTTTGGTATAAATTGTAATTCAACATTTCATTAACATAAAAATCATTTACAATAATATAAAAAAAAAGAAAAAAGTTTTGCGGTATTGAAATACACTATGAAAGCAAAATGAATCACTTCAATTCACCTGAGATGAGAAAATATGGAAATTGTGCAATTGGCAGATAAGCAGCAATGAAACTTGAGAATAGCAAATCATTTATCAAGTTCCTTCAAAACATTACTATGAGTCTCACAGCCTCAGTCATAAGGCCAGAATCTATTGGTATACAAATGGGGAAATATTACCAAAAAAAAGGGATATATTAAACATTACAAAAGCATCTTTGTGCAAAAATTATGGAAAATTCCATTTCAATGACTGCTCTATTCAGAAGTATTGCACAAATATTGACCAGAAAGACTATGATTTTCGGTCCAAATCTCCCTTTTATAACTCAGATCTAAACTCATTCGCACCACAGAAAACCACCCAGGATCAGATCTTTTACAATTATTCTTAAAAGGCAATGATAAAAGCCTATGGAATAACTTGCAATGCATTATCCAAGAATACGAAAACAATCAAAAGGCACATTCAGTTAAAATGTCTTAGTTTTAAGTCAAAGCAGTTGCAGGAACAAAGGTTGTTGATCTTGGCAGTTCATGTCTGCCATTAAAAACAGTAATTAAGATATACTTTGAACCATCTCAAAGTTGGAAGAGCCTCTAAACTAGGATTGTTTTTATCCCAAGACCTGCCAATGCGTTTGGTTGATTGGGTTACCGTTTACGAGACTTCTTCTTGGACAGAGAGGCTTGGGTGGGCAATCTGTGGTTATGTCTGGGACTACATGAACACTTTTATCCAGTCAGGTGACTAACCAGTCCGTGGTGCAGGCCCTGTTTCAAGATGTCGGGCCGGTGCAGCTGGGGCATGTAAAGTGTGGGAGGAGGGGCGCCTCCTAGCTGGTAGCTGGAAAGGGGGTAGCCCTGGCCTGGAATGGGGGAGTGGGCCATGTTCAGTGGGGAAGGACTCTGCTCGTAGTACTGGCCATCACACTCTTCGTCTAGTGGCACGGCCAGGCGCTTTCCTTTTTGTCTTCGGTTGCAGAACCACACGCGTACGACCTGACAGGAAACAAGTGTCTTTTAAAAATGTAAACCAGCTTTATAAAAATTTTTTTTAAATAAACACACTTCTATAAAAAATAAAAAGGCAATTGGCATAACTTTCACAGATGTACTTACATCTCTCTCCAGACCCAGGTCGTCTGAGATGTGAGTGATCTCCTGGGTGTTTGGCTTCGGACACTTAACAAAGTAGGTCTCAAGAGCAGAGCGCACTGCTCCCTCCAGACTGGTCCTCCTCTTCCTCTTTCTGGTGTCAACAAATACTCGCTCAATCTTGTACATCTGAAGAATCAAAGCATGCTAGTAAGGGTTGATGCAGTAATGAATAAAACCAAATTAAGATTTGTAAGCTCCATGTTCTCAAAAGATGGCTCCCCCACTTGGTGCACATCATAGAGGTTTTATGGCCACTAGGTGGCATTTTACATTTCACAAGATTAGAGGGCCTTGATTCAGGTTAACTCAGCAGGAAGCTAGCAAGGCCTGAAAAGACCAAGGATCCCATGAAGCTTAGTGATCTTCTGTTGTCTTGTAAACTAGTCGGCAGATGTCAAAGTATAGCACTTACATCCTGGGGATTGTCTGAGGTCTCTGCCTCATTCAGCCATCTCTGAAGAAGGGGTTTCAGCTTGCACATGTTCTTGAAGCTCAGCTGCAGAGCTTCAAAGCGGCAAATGGTAGTCTGGCTGAACATTTTACCTACATGTACAACAAATAACATTAGAGCACAAGTTGAAAAGAATCATGGCCCAAAAGTTGGATGACAATCAATAATTATAAACTTTAAACAGTGGTTAATTATCTCTTTATGGTTGCCATACTTACCATAAAGGTTTCCTAGGGCAAGACCGACATCAGCTTGGGTAAAACCCAATGTTATGCGCTTGTGTTTCAGCTCCTTTGCAAACTGCTCTAGTTCTTCTGTTGAAAGATTCTCCTGAAGAAAACAAAAGATTACATTAATACCCAATGTGATCCACAAGTAAACTGTATTTATAAAATGCTTTTACCTCCTCAGAGTCGCTGCATCCACCGCTGGAGGACCCACTGCTCCTAGTTGAAGAGGCCGGGTTCTGCGTCTGCGGCCCGGGGGAGGCCTGGGTTGTGTTCACTCTGAAAAACGAGTTTTCCGGAAGCCCGTTGCTTGGGGGTGAGGGGGACATGGATGGTGAAGATGCCGAGGATGTCGAGGGATTTTGATTATTGCTGGCGGACGGTGTGATGTGGTTGATGCCGGGCCAGAAGGAGGGGTTCCAGGCCGGGTAGAAAACTCCATGGGACATGGCAGCGGAGGCTGCTGATGGGTACTGCTCAATCTTAAGCTCCGTGGAGTAATCATCGCCGCTGTCCTTCTCAGTCTTTATTGCGGGAAGTTTAATCTGCTCCCGTGTCTCGGCTAAGGGGGGACTCAGGTTTAAAGGCTGGGTAGCTGTTGTTGCCCCGGGTACCTGGCCGGTGTACTCGGGAGCAGCGAAGGGATACCAATGCTTGGTTTGCCCAAAATCTCCGACCTGCAGGTCGGATCCCCTGTAGTCCCCATTGACGGATGGGAAAGGGAAAAAGGTCTGCGCAGACGCCGATGTGATTCCACTGTAGGCGGACTTGTTGTAGAGGAGACTCGGGTCTGTCAGGACACCGTGGGGAAGCTGGAACGGCCCACCGCTGCCCAAACCTTCATGACCCAGCAACTGGCCGCAATGGTTGGCCCGGCTGAAGTCATACGGACGGATTTGGCTTTCCGGACTATGCGATCTTTCAGACATCTTCCAAACAGCGTAAAAAGTATATAAAAGCGAACGTCCAAAAATAAAACTTGGAATAACTCAGTGGCGACTGATTCTAAACCACCCGCTTCACGTAAACGCACACACCAATGAAGGATGGGGTAGGAAAAGCACTCCAGGGGGGAAAAACCGGCGAAAAGTCCGTTTCTGGTGATATTGTCCGAAAAGTGTAGGTCTGGGCAGTTGCAGTTTTGGTGCTACATAACCACCAATACGCCTACGGCCTACTCCACTAACTTGTTTTTAACACTACTGCACTTAACTCACCTTCAAGCTCAAATGCCCCTCTCCTTCCCCTGCTCCACAGGTTTTCCTAATCACAGCTGCGGGTGTTGGGGGATCACCTCATCTCTTCGCCCATTGGCTGGCATAGACAATTGGCCACAGCTGATGGTGAATTTGTGAATGACCTTGATTCACCCTAAAGTAGTGGGCGTGTTTTCAAATAAACATCCAGCCCTTTGGGCTGCAGACTTACAATGTTTTTCTGTTTCTTAGCAAATGTAAAACTCATTACGTGCAATTTAAAACCATTACATAAACAAATATTAATAATTCAACAGTTTTAGTCAGAATATTAACATTGCTAAGGCACGGGTCAGTGTTCCTTTAAATACATATTGTAACACTATAATTTGCTCACCTCATACATGAATTATAAAGCTCAGTTTGTTTAACTTATTCCCCTTTAAGGAGATGGCTTTGATATTAAAATCCCTGTCATTCAGACCTGCATTTATTTTAATCACTAACATCTAAACCAAATGAAATGAACTGACATTGAAATCCTGAATAATTGTGACAAAAGAAAGGCACTTAATGAATCTGGCAACATAAAGTTGTTAAACAAACAATAACAAGGGCCAGGCTATTTATTCTGTTAAGAACATTTGATCAGCTCATACACATATAAATAAACTGGAGGAAAAACAATGTATGATAATGCACTGGAAATGACTTCAACGTTCTTTAATAGAAATAACGAGATAAGCAGGGTGACATGTACACCCATGAAAGTGTTGTTGTGAAGCTTGTGTTAGGAGAAGTGGGTCAGAAGAACATGATGGCATGATGAAGACTCAATCTTTTAACCAGCTGAATTTCTGGGTGTGTTAAATCTTCTTACTTTGTTGATGCTACTGGAAACAGGAATAACACTATTTTCAGATAAAGCAGATTTATTTTTGCACATTTAAAAACGGAAAACAGGATTTCTGTCTGATGTGACATTGTGGATACCCTTTATTGCTATTCTTTGCATTTCTAAACTATAAATGGTGGAATACTAGTGACTGAATCGTAAAACCACCGACAGCATTTAGGTGAACTTCTCCCATTACCCATTGATCGATGGTCGTTCAGAGAGCCTGTATGGCGGAGCACTGCTACAGATGCGCACCCCCAGCGCGAGTCGTTGGCCGCAGATTGCGGCAGGAAGACACACTGCGGGGAGGGAGAGGGGGGGCCATTGTACGAGCTGGCCCCGGGGCACCCTGTGGATTTCAGATCCCGAGTTGCGATGGTCGACCATTAGCTCCTTTTCAGATTCGAACAATAAGTCTCAACCCTTTGATTCCGCCCCACACCCA